CAGCAGAGAGAAACATGCTGAAGTGATGTCCTCCCCCTCCCACTCTGCAGGGAGGACAAGCAGCTGCAGTCTTTGTTATATGTTGTTATATGACAGTTGCTGTGTAAGCGTACAGGTTGTCAAACTACGAGCTGCTTTCCCCTTCAGGCTGAAACGCAGTAGAAACTGAGCAGTGTGTGTCTGGTGCCTGGCTGTGATGCAACGTGTCCTTGTCCTCTCCTTTAACCTCACAGGGATTGTTTCTCTCCGTGCGGCTCCACTGACGATATTAAGCCGCAATGAGACTTTTTTTTCATTTGTCAGCATTTCCACAGTTTGCCCGTGGACACACACACACACACACACACACACACACACACACACACACACACACACACACACACACACACACACACACATATGGTCTTTAAAGCTTTGGAAGTGATAGGAGGCGACAGGATGAGGTTAATCTACCTCAGTCGGTAATGGGTTATCTTACCGAGACTTTATAGTAACCTGTTTACCTACAAAACCCTGGATTACATTCATAATTCACTGTGCAGTGTGGTTATGGTTGTGGAGAGATTGTGAATATGTTTAATAAAAGCAGCAGTGGAATGTAACTAAGTACATTTACTCAAGTACTGTACTTAATATCTAGGACAATTATGGATCGTATCCTGATTACATAAATAAGTTACATGTAATTTGTTTCTCCCCAATGTTGATTCAGAGTGAGAGCTAAAACACTTTAATTAATCAATTACATGATCCTTTTTATGAAATTAATTACCAACAATTTTGATAATTAAAGGACAAATACCAAAAATCTTCTGGTTCAAGCTTCTCAAATGTGAATATTTGCTGCTTTTCTCTGTTTTATATGACTTTAAATTGAATATTTGGACTGTTGGTCGGACAAATTGAGCTATTTGATGAAGTTAGTTTAAGTTTTCAATCATAACAACTATTGCACATTAATAAAATAAAATAGTCCTGGCAGCAGATAAAGTGTAACAGACCCTCATCCTTCCGTGTTTTGCTGCTCTTTAATATTTCTTCCTGTATCATCAAACACTGTAAAACCAGATAAATTAATTTAACTCAAAAAATTGCTGAAACTGATTATGTTGAGTAAAACTAACTAAATTTTAAGAAAACATTCTGGATCAAGTAGCTTTTGGTAATTTTAAGTGACACTAACTTGGAATGTTTCTGTAACTTACAAAACAAAGTCACATAAAATCACTAATAAAAGCTGGTTGATGAAGAATCTTTTTTAGCTTTAAAAACTGAGTTACTGTTACTTAAAACTTTAAATTTAATCTGTTTCAGCAATTATTTTATCGCTTTACAGTGAATAAAAACTGGAGGAGGAAAATATACAGATAATGCAGAAATGACAACATATATAAATATTATATGTGTTAATATATTTTAACCTTATGCCAGTGACCAGATTCATACTTTTGTTTGTTGACATTTTTCCATCTTAAAGCTATTGCTCTCTTAGTTAATAGGTCTATTAATTAATTAACTTCTTCAGTAATATAAATAACCGTTAGTTGCAGCCCTGTCTGTTCTTATTCTATGCTATTTAAATACATCTAGAGAGACCTAACTCTCCTCTTGTTGTTTAGTGTCTTTGCCCTCAGCAGGCCTCATTAGCATCTGAGCATGTGCAGAAGAGTTTCAGGATCAAGGTGGGTTAGGAGTTGGCGTGCGGTCCCCTACCAGGCAGTCCTGTTTTAACATCCCAGTGGGCACAGATCTGCACCAGCGTGGGTTTGATTATTCTCCGTCAGCCCTGCCGATGTGGGTGGCAGCGAATCTGCTGAACCGGGAAAGATGCTTCAACTGAATGTGATTTCTTTTTTTAAAACGCAGTGTCTTTGTCACATTATCACTCAGATTATTAAATAAAACTAACGACAGGCAACGATGGAAGAAGTATTCAGATCCTAAAAGTAATAAAAACACACAAGAGCCCAAAATTCTCCGCAGTCAGGCAAAATTTTTGGTCATGGAAAAACTTGCATGGCCATTTCTAAAGGGATCCTTTGACCTCTGACCTCAAGATATCTGAATGAAAATGAATTCCCATGAGACTCCTCTTTGTGCCAATCTCATGCAGTTTGAAGCAATAAACATGCAGTTTTGTTGCATGTGATATAAATGTGTTATTTTCGCCTGTAGTGTGTTTGAATATTCCTGCATACTGGAGTCCATAAACACTTTGAATTGCAGTGGGAATGACTGAGACACACACTTCAGGCCACCCCTGCACTACATTCATTTAAAATAATGTGGATTTGTTTTACATTTATATACAACAATAACTTAAAATATTTAGTGTAAATCCCAAAATACATTTTCTGAATCATTCTGTTTGCATTTATTAATATTGAGACTGATATGACTCCATAAAAGAGGGAAACAGAAAATCAATAAAGACCAAAAGCAAACAGCTATTGTTCTGTATTGTTAAGATACAAAATGGTACCAGGATCCCTTAATTGATTGACTTCCAGTGCAGAGGGTCACCCTGCCCGCCATGCTCAGATTAGGAAACATAATGCAACATGAAGGTCTTGCTCATGGTGGTACTGTTGGGTCTCTGTAAATAATGTTATAAAAAGTTCGGTCTAGACCTGCTCTATTTGAAAAAGATCTAGCATTGGCCTTTACAAAAAAAATAATTAATTAATAATTAATTATTAATAATTAAAGACATTTAACATTCCCAAAAAATAACACAGAACAAACGATTTATATTCTAATTTGTTTCCACTAGAAACATCTGGCAGGCCAAATCGAGCCATATGGCGGGCCAACTTTAGCCCGTGGGCATCACTTTGGGCAGCCCTGTTTTTCTAAGCTCTGCATAGGTTCTGTATGTAAACGTCTCGATTTGTAAAGTAACTCAGATAGAAAATAGTCCAACCTTATATTTGCACTTGGGTAAACATACTTAGTGCCGTTGCAGCTCTGTCAGCAGGTCACTGCGGAGCAGAGTCGGGTTAGACTTCATCACAGTAAACTGATACTAAGCTGCCTAACAGATTAAAACTGGCATCGTCTGTGTGTGACATTGTGTCTTTTGATGGTGTGAGCGTGATACGTGTGTTACACTGCGTCCACTGGCTGTTAAAGTGTTGCATGTTTCTGACCCTGACCACAGCCAGACCTCGACCTCACCGCTGTGACCGTACGGGGGGGTCACATAGGGAGTCTTGTAGGGTTTAATACCCCTCCGTCCCCCCCTGCACCACCAACCACCAACCACCACGTCGTGTATGGTACGAGAACTGAAGTGAAAGGCAAACTCTGTGACGGCTTAGCTCAAACACACACAAATATACACACACACTCACAACATAACAGCTGTCTCCATGCACACACACACACACACACACACACACACACACACACAGAGAGAGAGAGTCTATTAGAGCACTTCAACATCTGTCTGTGTTTTCAGGCTGAATGACAGTTTCAAAAGAAACACCCATCTTCTGAAGCGTAACACAAATGTATAAAAATAGAAACTTCTGCTTTTGTCCACTTTTAAAATGTGTGTGTGTGTGTGTGTTTGTGTGTGTGTGTGTGTGTGTGTGTGTGTGTGTGTGGATGAGAGAGTGAGACTCAAAAGCACTTCTATAATGACACCATCATTTAAAAAGCGTTGAAAGAAAAACAATATTTAGACGTTAACGTTATATTTAAGATTAAAAGTAAAACACAAAGACAAGGATGCAGCCTCATGAGCCACAATCTGAAGTATACACACACACACACACACACACACACACACACACATATATATAATTGTATATTTCTTGTAAATTAGGTTAAACATGAATCAGTTTCTGTGGTTGAGGCGTTAATGTGCCACTCCCATGTCCAGCTGTATGATTAAGGTGTAACTGGTTGCTATAATTGTCCCTCCTGTGCAGACTCTGCGTGTTTTTATTGATCTTCTACGTTGTGTTAACTCGCACTAAATGTTTTAATCACACAACCAGAAGCTGCAGCTGTCACACTCGCACTGTGTCCAGTTTGGACAGGAGGTCAGAGGTCAGAGGTTAGGAAGGTTACTGTAACTCAAATTGCTGCAACATTTGATGCTGGTTCTGTTGATTAGAGTATCTGCCTCACTGAAGCTCACACAGACTGAGCAGCAACGTTGGACACACACACACCCCCTCCTCTCTTTTTCTGAGGCTCTCTGTCACAGCACTGCAGGCACACACACACACACACACACACACACACACACACACACACACACATACACACACCAAGTTTCTCACTGTGACTATTGTCTACACATCTGCAGTGCCCCGCCTGTTACCTCTCACTTGTGGTCTGATACTATGGTTGACACAGTGGTCAAATGTATAACTAGTCTGGTACCTGTTACATTAAAAATAGGATTGGTCTCAAGTTTCTAGGTGGATGATGGTGTAACATTTTATTTCATCTACTACTACACTGTTAACATTAAAAGTGATTTGAGTTCAGGTTATTGCAGCACAACAGAAACATTTATTTTGTAGGGGACAGAGACAGAACAAGCTGTGTGTGTGTGCATGTGGAGCCTTTGCTTTATTATTTTACACTCTTACATCAGAAGGCGCCCAACCTAACTCACTCTCGGTGTTTTGCGTTAATCGGGTGGTGGTGGCCTGGGATGGTATCAAACTCCCGGCCTGAATTATTGTCCCAGTCCGCCCCTGTTGTTCATATATTTATTTTACATCTTTTGTACTTGTTAATGTGTGTTGTTCCTTATATCTAGTGACATATAACTCTTTATTTAATTATACCTTGTATTTTCATTAAAAGAACTGAAATGATGAATAAAAGACTCGCGGTAACCTCCTTTAAACCCGGAGGTTATAATTACCGCACACCTGTCCAGCTGTGCCTTCAACTTTTGGCCCCTCCACGCGCTCTTACACCTGCGCTGTGGAAGGCGTTTCCAGGGCTCGTGCGCTCCCGCGAGGCGCCGCGGGCAGACAGTAGCAGCGCGCGCGGCGGGCAGCAGCGACCTGTCTCTTTAAGTTGGTGTCAAAGCCGATTACCGCTGATCTCCGTCGTGATTCTGTTTTCACCGTCTGTTCCCTCGATCTATTTCTGTTTGGCGCCGCTGACGCTCCGGTAACATTTCTCTTTTTCATACATTTATTTTATTTTTAACCGGCCGGATAAGAAAAAACGCTCCGGTAACTCCTCGGTAAAGTTTGGAGCATGGGAACGCCGTGAAGTGATCAGTGGAGCACCGGGTGTGATGCGCGCTGCGGGGCGGACTCTCCAACTTTTTGTGCCATGGTAAACCGGGATTACCGCTCCCTGCTAACGGACACATTAACCGCTTTCTCTCCGGTGCGCCTCCGCTAAAGATAACGAGTGAGAGCCCGGTGGTGATGTGATGTGATGCCCCGGGTTACTGTTTGAAGTTGGCACCAAAATAAAAACCACAAAACAAACCCGGGTGAAAGTAAGATGCAGAAGGGCGTGCGGTACAATGAGGGCCACGCTCTGTATCTGTCGGTGGTGGCGCGTAAAGAGGGCACCAAGCGCGGCTTCCTCAGCAAGAAGACCACGGAGAACAGCCGCTGGACCGAGAAGTACTTCGCCCTCTACCAGAACGTGCTCTTCTACTTCGAGAACGACCAGAGCACGAGGCCCTCCGGGATATACCTGCTGGAGGGATGCACGTGCGAGCGGGCACCGGCGCCAAAGGTCTCCGCCATCAGCAAGGAGCCGATGGAGAAACAGCAGGTGCGTCCCGGTGCTGGGAGAGCCCAGTTAGACCAGTTCAAAGTTTAAAAAGATGGAGACTGCTGTTGGAGGGGTTTTCCTTTAATTATCCCTCCGCAGTGCAGCTGCATTGTGGACTATTTATGAATTAATTTCTGTCTTTGTTGCACATTTAAAAGCAGTCTTTACTGCACATGCACGGTGCTATTGTTCTCAGCTGTAAGTCTCACTTCTCATTGTGTCAGTTTAGTAAAGAATAAATCCTCCAGGGACCCAAAATACAAGAAAAAGTGACACAGGGGCTGATAAAAACACACAAATCCTTAATATAGGAGATAATCACTCAAAATATCATTATAGAACAGTTTAAGGCTGTCAGAGCCATTGTTTTACTGTTTATACACACAATACAGCAGAAAACTGTAAGAGATAAAACTATAATACAGTCTGTTTACATGTAAAGAGATTTAACTACAGTCTGTAATTCACAGTTCAAACAAACATAAATGAGATACTGTGTGAAAGCCCCACATCAGCTTGTATGTACATATTACTGTAAATTAAACATGCTCAGTGTATTTGTGTGTATTCTGAAATAGAGCTGAGACTATAATTATTATTAGCTGACAGATGGAACATTATCCTGTAACTATATTTTGATTAAATGTCAGTTGTCAAGCAAGAAATACTCTAAAATACTCAGATTTTCAGATGTTTTCTGTGTTTATTTTGTAGTAAACTTAATAAATCTTTGGGTCAATCATTAGTTTTAGCCCTACACAGGATTATATCTTAAAATAATACATCAATGTTTTTATATCTTGATGGTTTCTCGTTATTTATAAAAAACATGACTTTAGTGTGCTTTCCTGCCAGCTTCCCGTTCCACTGGTTTGAAGTCTTGCTCAGAGAGAAACTTGCTCATATATAATGCACGCTTGTCATTTCAACACAATATTTCAGTTTTTTGATACACACACACACACACAGAAAGTCCAACCTCCAGTGACCTTGTAATGTGTGACAAAGTATCTCAACTCAACTAGCAGTTATTTCCATCGTTGATTTATTCTGCCGATTGAACCATTTCTATAAAGTGTCAGAAAATTGTGAAAAAAGGCAGACAGTCTGACGAAGGGTAATATTATGTTTACCATCACGTTTCCACCCAAAACTAAAAGGTTAGTGCTTGTATATATGATATTTAGAACATTAATGTATCAGTAAACAGCTGTTATCTAATATAAAGACACACTCACATGGTGTCTCACTCCCTCTGCCTGTGTTGTATCGCAGCCTCTCTGTGGTTTGTTTCCATAGCCGGTCTGCCGCTCTAGTGCAACTGATTTTATATCTACAACCTTTAATTTAGACACTTTAGTTCCTCCGAAGGTTCATAATTCCTGAGTGAAGCTCCTGTGGTGGAAACACGACTATAGAAGATGAAGAAAATCTGAAAATATTCCCATTTTAGAAGCTTGAACCAGTGAATATTTTGCCTCAAAATAACATAGATTATAAAAATAGTTGCTGTTGCTGTGTCATTTTCACTCCATCGATTAGTCGAGTAATCTTTCCAGCTCTAAACTCAACTTGTTCGATGTTTAGAAGCTTTGAACAGCATCTCGTCTTCATCGCTCTGATACTTCCAGAAAAATATTTGCTGCACACATCCCATCATCAGCTGCTCCTCTCATATAGTCCTGTGTAATGAGGCAGACATAAAGAGCCTTTTTTCTATTGATAATCTAATTGTAAACACAAATAGTCCTTATGAAAATATATCTCCTTTTGAAAGCTAATTTTAAATGACCCATATTCCTGTTAAATTCCTATTTATTTTTGCTGCTGCGGGGTATAAAGACATGTTTCATCCCATCAGCAGCTGCTGTAATGCAAACTAGTGGTTGAAAGCTAGTTTCCTTTCCACATTCGGTGCACTTTTGACCCAAGCCGGATCATATCAGTTAAATCTAATCCTCCCATCGATACGCAGGTAATCTGTCGCCCCTCCTCTGACACCCTGACTCCGTTTCTAGAAGCCAAAAAGCAGAAGTGTTGTTGTGTATTCGCAGCTTTTAGGGTGGTAGCAATCAATCTGCAGTCACGCTCCAGCTGGGTGAGAGTGTGCTGAGACACAGGAGGTGAGGTTTCTCTCTCAAACTCTCGCTTCATGAATGTTTACAGGTGGGCTTCAGTCTCTCTCTGCTGCAGTGTCAGTGCAACTTCTGCTCTCATGTTTTGGCATTAGGGAAGAGGAGATTGTCATTTTTATTATTGTTGTTGTTATTAATTCTTTTTTTTTAGAAAAAAAAACTCAACTTTTATTTATAGCACCTTTCATACAAACATGCAGCCCGAAGTGCTTCACATAACAGACTGAAACAACACATAAAAAGAGCAATAAATAACATGTTGCAAGGCTATAAATGAATACAATAGAAACAATAAAATGTAAAACATAAAGAAAATTAAATTCGAAGCAAAAGTAAACACCAGGGAGACAGATAATGTAAAAACCAATGATTAAAACCTATAAACTAAGGCTGTAACATTACTTTAAATTAAAAAACCAGATTAAAAACATAGGTCTTTAATTTCCTTTTAAAAATACTAATATCCGGTGCTTTTATGGGACACATAAGGAACATTTAAAAGAAAAGCGGTGGAGGACCTCGGTGATCTGGAACATAAATTAAAATAAAGTCTCTTATGTGCGGTTGAGCAAGGTTATTTAAAGCTTTATAAACACGTAAAATCACTTTAAAATCAATTCTAAAAGACACAGTGCAGTGGAGTGATCCATGTTTATAGTTTAAAGACTCCAGCTGCAGGTTTCTGAACCAGCTGTAGCTTTCATAGGTAATCCAGTAAAAAGGGAATCACAATAATCTAAACGACTAGTAATAAAAGTGTGAGCGAGTATTTCAGCATTTAAAAAGGCTGTTTTTTAATTACCTTCTGATCTTACTCTGTAGTTATATTTTATGTCAACCTTTCAGAATCGGGTTTATTGTGAAGCAGGTTTTGTATTTTGGTGCATAATGTTCACAGTAAACATAGTAAGAAAGAAAACCAGCACAGTACAAGTCAAGAATCTAAATTATATCATGAGACTGCAGAGCGGCAGCAGCTTCCAGTAAAGTTTCATCCTGTTAAACATCTTTTACTTGGACGTCTTTGTCAGAATCCTGGAAAGTGACTCCTAACTTCATCACTTTTAAGAGACAAATCAAATCTTTCAGCAACAAACTCCTGTACTCATGTAGTCTTAATTCTGTGTTTTTATGCATCTTTTTTTACCTTCGTGTTTCGGCCTGTCTTTGTTTACGCTGTCTGTCCCTAAAAAATAAACCATAAATAAATAATAACACCTTTTTTAAGAGTGAGGGCTACCTAAAGGGAGAAAATGTTTGGGAGGGTTACTCTGTGTACTTGACAAAACCTCCATGTTAAACCGATGCTTTCAATAGAATAACCCAGCGGTGTTTAGTCTTTTTGAAGCAGTTCGAGTTGGAATTGTGGGCGTGGAAGTTATTTGTTCACTGACAATAATCTCCTGAGAGTCCATTTACTCATCCCGCCTAATCAGCGTAAACCAATTAATGAATTGATAGATCGTTAAAATCTTAAAGTGCAACTCAGATAAAGTCGGCAAGTCGGGACACTGCGAATGCAGAAGGGCAGAATGAGGAAGAGTGGTCAGAACCCAAACACACGACAGACTGAAGTTACACAACATGCTCTGTGGGGACTTCATAGGCTCCTCGTGCAAGCAGATGTTATTATTTCACAGATATTAACTGCCACACGCACAATAGAAGCCCTAACGCACAAATTCAACAAGGAAGAGCTGTGAACGAGAGATAAACCACAGAGAGAGGGAAAGCATACACACTCTCACAGCCATCACTCCGCTCTCAAGACGGCTTCTTCTCAACCTGACTTTTAACAGTTTAGGGGCAAAAAACCAAGGTAGGCCCTCTTATACCAATACCAGTGAATGTGTAGTGAACTGAATGTTCCAACCAAGTTTTGGTAAACTTGGTATCGGTTTCTCGTGAGATCCCTACTTTCAACACAATAACTCGGACCTCCATGTTTTATTGGATAACGACGCCATCTGACGCCATAGAGGAGCAGTTCAAAGAATTGAAACAAATAATCCCGGACTGTCGCAAGACTGTCAGCGTCTCATAAGATAAGAGTAAAAGTCTGAGGTAGCTTAAATAAATTCCCCCAAATTCTTTATTCTTTATACTTTCAAATGATACTTCCTGTTATTTGTAGCTTCTAAACTATTACAAATTGAGTCTGGATGAATGTCTTTCTCTCTGCCGTACATCTGTGCACTCCCAGCTGAGAGGAATCATCAGCAGAGTTTGTCAGTCGCCTTTTGCAGTTTTCCCTTCAACCAGCACCTGAGTCCTTTTCCTCCGGCAGAGAAACACTCACACGCCGGCTTGTCTGCACATAAAAGAGATTTTAGTTAATGCCTTTACTCAAAAAAAACAAACTAAATAATAGAATCTGTAATTTGCCTTGAGATTGTGGTATATGCAAAATGTTTACTGGCCTTTTTAAAGTACACATATACATATACACAAATCAAATGTTGTGAATCCTGTTGTCCAACATCAAGGTTTTGGTAGCGAGATGCAGAGGACATAACTCTTAATAATCTCTTATCTGGCATTCCTTTCACACACACTTGTACAGACCAGATTGTACGTGCCCTGGTTTGTAAGTTCGACGTTCGACTGCGAAAAAAACCAAAAGTGAATCTCAAGAATCACTAGAATCAAGAAAAATTCAACTTGACTTTGAATAATTTAATTGAATATCTTAACTGTGCTGGCAGATTATTTTCACTTGTTTTAATTAAATTAGACTTTTAAAGACTAAAATCCAACCAAATGACTTGATAAGGATATAATTGTATGTTGTAGTACGTTTTATGGTGTTCAGTGATGAGGATGTTCCACATGTTTAGAGACGACATTTGAGGGAAGTGTTTTAAA